TTTGAGGCTACCTTGGGTTATATAACTGCCTGTCTCAACAACACAACAAAAAGGTATAGATTTTGCCAACACCCATAGTTTTTCAAAAATAATTTTGGGAGTGAGGATGTAGGTCGTCAGGGCATGCTCTGTATGCTTGAGGAACAGGATTCACTCCCTAGCACAGGCAAAACCGTTTTTTTTTAAATTCTTTTTAGGGTTGGGCGTGATGGCACAGAGCTTTATAATCCTAGAATTCTGGAGGCAGAGACTTGCTGATCTCCATGAATTTGAGGCCAGCCTTGTCTACAAAGTGAGTTATAGGACAATCAGAGCTATATAGTGAGAACTTGCCTCAAGAAATTATTTTTAAACAAAACATTATGAAGCTTCTTTGTAGACTTAAGTTATAATCTCTGCTTAATGTTTTGCAGTTTAGTGCTGTTTCTGAAACATTCAGTTCTATTACCAAAGATACTGGGAAACATTTGTTTTTTCTTGTTGTATTGTACTTTGCTATTTTGAGGCATTTGCAGAAGGCATTAGTTTAAAAGAGTACTAACTCAAGTAGAAGGTGCTAACACTTGAATTTCTTTCCTTTTTTTTTGTTTTGCAACCTGCTTTTCACATTTTGACAATCCTCAAGTAAAGATTTATGCTTAGTAAGGTAGGACTGTACTTGGATTTTAATTTTGTAGTTCATGGTGAATGTAATGTCATTCAAAAATAACTTTGTACTTAGCCACATGCCAAACACTGGGCACAATGAGGTCACCCAAGCCTACAAATGGCATAAATTACTTACAGATTCAGAGATAACACTAACTAATGTGGGAAGAGGCAATATGCAAAATGTAATCTTTGGATGGAAGCTTCAAGTAATGATCTTAAGAAAATCTTTAAAATTATCTTTTTGGGGGATGTGTGTGCACACCTATGTGTATGTGTATGTGTGTGTGCACAAGTGCACATGAGTGCCAGTGCCTGCAGACGTAAGAGGCACCAGATTCTCTGACACTGGAGTTATAGACATTTATTAGCCACCTGATGTGGGTGTTGGGAATAAAACTCGGGGCCTCTGCAAGAGCACTGTGCACTCTTAACTGCTGAGCTATCTCTCCAGTCCTAAGTAATGATCTTATAGTGATGAAAACATAAGGAAGGAAAGAGGGTGTGCCTCAAAAACCACATAGTTCAATTTATTAACATAGATTTGCACTTTATTTTAATTTTGCATCCTGAGAATAAAATTTTATCTTGACAAGTGAACAACGACAGAAGCAGCAGTGAAAGTTTCAGAGGCAGGTATCCTTCATTTTGGCACAGCTGTATATAGGTTGAGTTCTTCCAGGGGAGTCAATCCTGGACTCAGGGGAGAAAAATTAATTCATTCCACAGGTTATGTAACACTACAAGATGCATGAAAGTTCTTGGTTTGATGGACATACCCACTATTACTCGCTTCTGGTCAAGCTATCCCAACAGGATTCATCTGCGAAGAAGTAGAAATCGTAAGATCTTCAACCAGATTTTTTGAACAATGCCAGCTCTGTAGCTATCTGGACATACTGTTCTTGCAATAGAGGTTCATATTTGTATGTGGTTAGTCCAAGGATGGCAAACTACCTTGTAGATTATATAATTTCAAACATTTGTAGCTTGTTCCAAAGTCCAGGCATTAAAACCACTGAACAAATTGATTACAATAAAAAGAGAAAAGAAAATTAAGCCAAGATAAAAGCAAATCAAATAAGCAGGAATAAAAGAAGCATTTGAGAAATTATTGCCTTGATTCATCACATGAACTTTATACACAGAATTACTTTAAGAGACTCACAAATTGATAGTTAGACCAATGCTAGAGCATGACATTATAAGACTTTCAACATTTGCAATCTGTGTGTGTATATGTACACATTTCCATAAATCAGCTCAGCCATATAATCCTGAAACAAAAACGGTAGGCAAATTATAATCTGAATTTATATAGCCCAATCTACTCAATATTTATTCTCTCTGTGTGTTTTATTTAGGGTCTAGGAAGCAACATGCTGCCAAATACTCTTAGCTCTTCTATAAAAGTGGCTCCCAACATATTCACCATATAGATCTGTTGATTCCTTCCCCAAGTATCTGTTAAATTACATGTAATAACGGCTTTCTCGTTTTCATTAATTAAAAGTATACTTCCATTCACAGCTTCTAATCAGTATTGATAACCAGTGTTGACAGATAGTATATGAGCAAAATGCACATGTCTTGGTTGGCTGGTGTGGAAGGAATACTATAGGTCAGTGTGTGGCTTTTAATATAGTTTTTGAAATAACAATTTTTTAAAAACTATTTTATTTATTATTTTTATTTTATGTGTATGTGTGTATTGCCTGCATGTAGGTAAGTGCACCCATGTCATGCAATGCCCATAGAGTACAGAAGAGGCCATTGGATCCCCTGGAACTGGAGTTACGGACAGTTGTTAGCTGCCATGTGGGTGCTCGGATTCGAACCCGGGTCTTCTGCAAGAACGACCAGTATTCTTAACCGCTGAGCCATCTCTCCAGCCCCTAAATAACAATTTTTGAGAGAGGTGAAGGATACGCTTTATTGCTGTCTTCATCTGCCCCAAGCTGGGAACCACTGGTTTATACCCATCTGCTTTTCTTCCCTAAATCAAGTATTGACATAATACAATTACTCATGTTTAACAAATGGGGCATTAATACCAAAATTGACTACAGGAGAAAATAAACTCCAACACTTATTCTGTAGAGTTTTTTTTTGAGAACAAAAACAACGACATGGATTTAAAGTAATATCTATTTGGAAATTATATAATTATGGTATTCAGTATATCTTTCAGTTAGCTTCAAACACACTAATACATGAAAAAAATCCTCAATTCCCCTGTGAGGTAGGTCCAGATTAGTGTCCCCACTTCAGCAATGAGGACATGAGGTACAGAGGAATTAAGCAGCAGAGCTAAGAATTAAACCAGAAGTGACTTGGGTTTGAACTCCATGCCATTTTCCTTTCCACTTAATTTTATCAATTTGTTCCAATAGATCTTTTTGAAGGTATGGAACTTGGTGAGATACCGTAGCAGATGTGGAATCAGATATGAAACTCTTCACGTTCTCTAAGTGGATACTTTCATATCTCCATTATTGTCACAGCTACAATTCTTGCCTAGATACCAACTAAATAGTGAGATTCCACATGGGCAGAGCACAGAGATCTCAGTCCTCCATTCCTAGGGAAACTACATTCACTTTTAGCATCATGGGGGGACTATGGTCTAATAGGTTCTTTTGAGTCATGTCAATGAGCAGCCAGAATGCAAACTGAACTTGTACTGTGTGCAAGGCACTGTGAGAGTTTCTGCCAAGTTTATAGATCTGAGAGTAACTACTCTGAAATTCTGCACAGTAAATATTTCTTAAAGATTCCCAGAATCACAATTGTTAGGTAATCTCTAATTTTCTGTCCAGCTCTTGGTTTAACTACATGCTTTTACAGAAGACTGATGTGCAATTTACATCATTTGCCTGGGGCCCACAGTACTAGATAGACCATTTCTTCATAAAGTCTGAGTTTGAGAAAATTCACAGAAAATAGAACACATTCTCAGGTTGCCATCATCGAAACAAAAAGGCTGGCTCAGAATCAGGTAAGGGAAAGTTGGGACAAGATAAGGATATATACATATTCACGCATATTCTCTCTCTCTCTCTCTCTCTCTCTCTCTCTCTCTCATACACACACACAGAAGGATATATGTATAGATATCCTTCATTTATTTTCAGCTCACACAGTATATGAGCAAGTATCAATAAAGCTTACTTCTTTTCTGTGAAAAAATTTCCAACAGTTCACCACTAAGGGAACCTGAAAAATTTGACTATTGCAAAATAGACATCATTTTAGAAGCAGACTTTTATAGGCATAACTGGACCTAATTTCAATGCACTTGAGCACTTTACAATTTAGCAAAAAGTATTTCCACTATGTGAAACTGTTCCAATGAATCAGATGAGTATAATTTCTATATCCTATATCCTTCTAGGACAATACAGTAAATTTGAATGAAATATTGTTTGGGGACTTCATGTTCAAGTAATGGTTTATCTTTAAGTGACCGATTATCTGTAAACAAAAATAAAAGTGCTAATGATTTTTTAAAGCTCCCATACATTTGAAAAGACCAATTGTTTACAGGCTCACAAATGTTATTGAGCTTTACTCAGATTATCAAAAGTTCATTAAAAATAACAATCATAGATATTAACACAGTTTAAATTCTGAGACATTAGTGTTTACAGGTCATAGTAATATAAGAAGTGTGGGCATTAAATACTTAAGTGAGTTTTGTTAGGGCTTTGATCAAAGACCATTGTCCTTTCAGAATCTGCATTAAAATTACACTTTTAAGTGACTGATAGTCTTATTCTGCAATATGTTGTCATTAATATATCACATGATTTGAAGCAAACAATGAAATGGGCTTAAATAAGAGAAATATAATAAGCTAGTAAAGTATTGTCATCCTAGTTGAAAAGAATAATTTCTAATTTAATAATCTACCAATTCCCTCATTCTGCTTCCTTCTAATACCATGTTATCTTTGAAAAAGACAAGGCACTTTTCCATCTACTTCTAAAGTTACAAAGGTCTCTTTCCTATATTAACATGGGGTAGGAGGGAAAAAGAAGGGACATGTCTGGGATGGAGTTAATGAATCTGCAAATGATATCTATTAATACTTGTTAAGAATAATATATATGCTACTGGCCTTTTGGATAAGCTTTAAAATGACCAGTTGGATCAATTTCTTAAGTCAGAACCTGACTCCTCCTCCTCCTCCTCCTCCTCCTCATCTTCACCCCTCTCTTGGGGAATCAGTCTAGGGCCTCATGCTCCGTGAATATGTGCTCCTCCCAGGGCCTTGTGAATGCTAAACAGACACTACCCATGGGTGTCCTCTATAAAGCTCATTGAACTTTTGCTGCTACTGCTGTTCTGAGAGACAGGGCTCTTTCTGTAGCCCAGGCTGTCTTTGAATTCATGTAGCACAGACTGGCTTCAAACTCACTGAAAATTTCCTGCCTCATCCTACTAAATTTTGGCATTAAAGGTGTGAACCATCATGCTTAAATTTTCAGAATGTGACTTAAAAAAAATTTTTTTTAAATCTGCAACCTCAAAGCCTGTGAGATTTACATGCTTTGGCAAATATATTTTATTTTAAAATATTTTTTCCTCTGGAAACTACCACGACAATTTTAATAAAGGAATATTATGTAACAAAGGAATTAAAATTTGAGTTTTTCAATAAAAAAATAACTTTCACAAAAATACTTTGCTAACCCAAATGGAAAAATACAAGCTTATATTCTATCCTGAGGATCAAAGAAAAAAACGTTTGATGGGGGAGGAATTAATGACCAAGGTACACTCTGATATACTCTGACACTTCAGGATTTGCTGTTGTTTTTCAATGAAAAATTTCCCTTCCCCACTCCAAATATCCAATTTTTAATCACCCTTCTTCAAGGGAAAAGAGTTTGACAAAGCAGTCACCTAAGAATGAATGGCAAAGGAAAAAAAGAAGAAACTTGATTGTTTTCTGGGTAGCTCAAGAAACTGTGAATAGTGAGTAGCTAAAATTGAATTTATATATTGTGGCTAATGGTTTCAATGACAAATACTGTTGTAGCTTGAATTATACTTGGTCACCTCCAGATACAATCTATTCCTAACTTAATATTTGTTTCATGGAAACAATTCACTACACTTCCTGTTGGTTTTTGAACACGGTGAAGTGTGATTTAAACATGGCAGAGAAAGAATATGATCACCATTTGGTCAAACGCTAAGGTTACATTAAAAAAGGAAGATTTTTGAGGACTGACATTTACAGATAATTATCCTATCAGGGAGAATTAATTCTGTATTATGATGGAAATCAATTTTCATATTAAAACATCACAGTTTGAAGCATAAATTTGATGACATTCACTGGAACATAAATCATAGATACAATTTTTCCCTGACCTTAGCTATAAAACAAGACGGTCGGAATGCATTTTCAGAGGCTTCCTTTTTGTCTATAAAAATACACCTTCAGTCTTGCAGCAGGCAGATATATGGTATTTGTGGACATACATAATGTATTAGAACTTAGAGATCTGAGGTGGCTGAATGGCATGGGGGTAACTGGGCTCCAAAAGTGTTTGTGCAAACCAATATAATCACATATCAAATAGTATGTCTTTCTTCCTTCTACTGGTCAAGGACTAAGGATTTCAAATTAGGCATAACTTTTAAAAAATGGCTTAAAAAAGCTTGGCCTTGTGTGAAGAAATGATTGTTCTTTTCACTGGGATGAATGGTTGCCCTCCATACTTACTTAAAAGCAGTAAGAGGACAAACAATATAATTCAGTCCCAGTCACTTTAATTTTTTAAGCATTATGAATTAGAAACAATGCCCATATACAGGCATACACTTACAGTTGAATTAATATGATATGAAACTTTTGTTATATTAAAATTTCAAATTGTAGGAGAACCAGAGTGGTCACCTCACTCATTTTAATTGTGAAAAGAAATAGAGAATGATGCACACAGCAATCAAACAGCTACATGTGTGGTCAATTTAAAAACTAAAACACTTCTATCTAAATTCTATATGTCCTTCCTCATTAATAATGTCCAAATGTTTAAAAAAAGATCCTCAGCCAGAAGGAAGTGCATATTTTGTAACCGACTGGACCACTCCATAGTCTTCAGGTACAGTTCCTCACTTAGCGCTCTTTCTCAAAATGGAGCATCTGAGCTTCAGAAGAGGATCAGCTGTGGCTTTCACAGAGGTCTCCAGACCTCCCAAGAGGTGAAATCTTAAGATATTTAAAGATCCTAACTGTGGGAATTTTGAAAGGATGGGAAGGACACATAAAGGGAAAGAAGTGAGTGACAATGAGGCTGACGAATATGTCAGATGTCAAATATTTTTGGGGGTGGGGTGGAGGATAAATGGAAAATACTGAATTAAATGAGAAAAATAAGGTTGTTGGTTTCAGGTGTAATGCACAATGTCTGAGGTGATGATCTCAACTTTAATCCACTTGTTAGGAAGGGCAGCCCTGCCCTACACCTGAAAATTTAACATACTCATTTTGGCTTTGCCATAGAACAGCATGTTAAAGGTCTCTACATTCAAAAGGATGCTTGCAAACTTCATTCATATTAAAATCTATGCGGAATTGTTGGCAATACATTAATAATAATACATTCTGTAAAACATGGCATAACACATTTTACATTATTATGCAAAGAGACAGTATTTACAAGTATTTAGGGGTTTAAATATTTTATCCACTAACATAAGAGACGATTTAGCAAAGCGCAGGACGAAACCAGTGCTATTAATTGCATGTCCTTTAAAAGCAGAGTAAAACCATTTCGAAAAGCTACCAAAAGCCTATTTAAGTGTGTCTGGTAAGGGATTACAGAGCATTAAATAGCCTAGAAAAATGATGCAAATTTAGAAACAGTGAGTATGAAAATTATAAGGCAGCATGCTCAGAACAAGGTTTTTGTTTTCTTTTGTTTTGTTTTAAAACACCAGCACTGATGTTTATTTTAGTGGCAACTATATATACGTGTATATGTGTTGTATTTATTTAAAAATTGAGAATGCAAAACACAAGCCTTTATAACCAAAAAGATGTGCAAATTTTCTTCTTAAATCAACACAAATAAAAATGTGAGAAGAAGATTCTACCATTATAAAGAATAAACTGAATACAGCAAAGGAGACCATCTCCATTCCAAAATCATCTACAAGGCACTAAGGGTAGGAAATGACAGATAACACAGAAGTGACCGAATAAAACTCCTCAGTCAGGTCGGAATATGGGATATTTTGGTAAGAATTCTATGAGTATTACCTGTAAAATAAAAACAAACAAGAATATATTGACAAAATATTTTTTCATTTAATTTAACACAAATAACCCAGGAAGTCTAGTCAGTTTTCACAGACTGTATTTTGATTCTGCATTATAAAAAATAAGTGAAATATATGAAAGAAGTATGCAAAGAATGTAGCACAAGTTATGATGAGACTGGCAATTTCGAAATTAAACTGGCAGACAAAAGTAATTACTAGCGCTAACAGATGTTATTACCTGATTTGCAACAGCTATTTGTTTAGATTCAAACTCTTAATTACATTTTCACTTCCCTTCCCCTTTTTGTTTCAGCAAAGTGAAAGAGATTAAAAATACTTTATACAGATGAGGAAAATGCCTCTATGTTTGTATTTTTCAGTTAAAACAGCTTATGTTAGTTGAGGATTATTATTTTCTGTTAGTTGTTTATGCTCAAAGGGATCAACTATGAAACAATTTAACTGCAAAAATGCTTAGAAATGCGATAATAAAATTCAAATTTTTGAATGTTTAACCTATAATAGATTTTATATTTTTATTTAAAAAAATTTTTGGTCTTTTTGAGACGGGGTTTCCCTGTAGCCCAAGCTGGTCTGGAACTAACTATGTAGACCAGGCTGACTCACAGAGATTTGCCTGTCTCTGCCTCCCAAATCCTGGGATTAAAGGCGTGCACCACCACGCCCGGCTTATAATAGATTTTAGATTCCTTGTCACTTGCACAATGTCCTCAAAACTACACAAAGTGAAAAAAAATCACAATACCACTTTCTATGAGAAGCAAATGGAATGTTTAGTATTATTATTAGCTGACCTGTAACTCCCTATATACCCCAGGCTGGTCTTGAACTCACAGAGATTCACCTACCTCTGCCTCCAGAGTGCTGGGGTGTTGGGATGAAGGCCTGCACCACCACATCTGGCCTACTATAGTTATGATGATGACAGAATCTTAAGTACCCTGGCTGACCTTGACCTTATGTTGTAGCCAAGGATGACCTTGAATTTCAGCGATTATAGGCAGCCTGGTTTATGAGTGCTGGGATCGAACCTAGGGATCTGTACATGCTAGGCAAGCACTCTACCAACTGAGTTACATCTTTGGCCCTGGAACATTTATTATTAAATACATACTACATGTCATCAACTTGAAGTTTGGATAAATTTAATATTCTTTTGAACATTAATGATGCCGAATACATCATATTGGTTATATGTGAATTTTTGCTTTATGACTAAGATTGCATTATTTTCAGTAAGGTACTTAATCTATATTAAAATCTACTTTGTCTATTCACTAAAAGTTAAATGTCAGCCAAGATTTTTTAAAAAGCCAAAAATATGAATCTGGAATTCCAAAGAGAATTCCTGTTTTATGCAAGTTTTGACAGGATTATACGCAGACATAATTTGCTCAGCAGAAGCTGTTCTTGGCACCATATGTTATGGTTTGTGTCTGTGTTAAAATAAATCAAGGTTGTACAATGTTTTCATCTGAACATACAAGCTGAGACTTTGCTAAGATGTAAATAATTGTTAATCTTCCAAGATATTTTAGGTTGGCTACAAATCTAAAGAAAATTATGTATAATCTCTACATTGCAGCTGACAAAAGTTCAGACTGAGAAGATAAAAAGCAGAGGCAATAGAGCATAGATGATAAACACAGTGATGTTATATTTGGGATGCAATCCAAACCATGTAATTCAAACAGCTTCATACTTACATATTCCATCATATTGCTAGTCTCGCATTTCCTTTTAGTCAACTTCCAGTGCAAAGCAAGCTGAGAAATTAGAGATTTGTTAAACTTTTATATCAACATAAGTTAATTACAATGTATTCCATTTGAATGAGTCACTGAAAACAAAATCTAGGTTGTAAGATATAAAGCACAGCAGTTAAAATACCTTATAAAGAATGCAAATTAGTAACTGAGTATTAGCTTGCCAGTTCTTTTATTCCTGTCCAGAAAAATCTTACTTAGTATTTGTGTTTTCAATTTGATAATGCAAATATATGAACAGGGCCTTTTTTTTGGTTAAAATTTCTTACCTTGTGATATAATCTGTTATTTTCCCATTCTAATAACTTCTGAATTGATCTTCTGGTCTAAGAAAAAGGATCAAGACTTGTTACAAGCTGAGCCGAAGAACACTGTAAACTACATGTATCTCTATTTTTTTTTAAAGATCCTACTAATTTCTCTTCTGGTTGTTCCATTATAAAATCAGAAAAAAAGAGGACTGTATCTCACAGAAACGGCCAAAAGGGTAGTCACACTTTGGGTGACTGCTGTACAGTCGTAATAAAAGATAGCTTGAGCCAGGTGTGCTGCCAGACACCTGTAATCCCAGTACTAGGAGGCAGAGACAGGCACATCTCTGTGAGCACAAGGTCAGCCTAGTCTACATTGAGAGTTTCAGGTCAGCCAGGGCCCCATAGTGAGACCCTGTATTTAAAAAAAAGAAAAAGAAAAGGAAAAAAGGATAGAGACGTTTCTAACAGATTTTAATTTATGTTTTTCAATGTGAAATATGTATGAGTTACTCTGTGGTGTGTGTCCATCCATTGGTCTATTGTGAAAACCTATTAATAGTGCTAACCACAAACCGCAGCAGTTTCTTGCTTAATAAGAATTTTTCCACGTATCTTTCTCAGGACTATTTTTTCAATAAACATCTAATATGCTGAACATATTATCACAGAAAGTTTTCCTACCAGAGCTAGCATAATATCTCACACACAGCAGTCAGTAAAGCTCTAAATGAGAGAAGCAGTCGTATAATACTAGGAGCTGAATTTCTCCATTCAAAACACATGTATTTTGTAGGGAAAGTTACTAGGCATTTTTGATTCTTATTGGAAACTGTGAAAGATTTCTGATGAAAATAAGATAGTTTTGGTAGGTATTGTTAATAGTGAAAACCACTGTTAAAATTAATGATTGATAAGCCAGACTATATCTGAAAAGATTTTTAAAGCACCAACATAAGAAATGCTTCCATCTGTCTGACTACAGGTTAAAAATCCATGACAACTGAATTCTAAACAAAGTAAATTCAATTAGTTCATTAGATCAGCCAGGTGTGAAGGCATATGACTTTAATTCCAGCACTTGGGAGGCAGAAGTAGGCAGATAGATGTAAATTCAAGACCAGTGTTACCTACATAGCAAATTCTGACCAGCCAGGCCTACATAGTGAGCCCCCCTGAACTTTTTTTTTTTTTTTTAAGATTAGATAACAAAAGCTTGAGTGTCTCTTGTGGCCACTGCGTTGGATACATCTAGACAGAAATTAGATGAATAACAAAAAAGGAAACAATTAGTATTTTAAAGTTATTTCTGCAGTGAGTTTGGGGCCAGCCTGGTCTACCATCAAGTTCCAGACCAGCCAAGGCTACATAATGACACCGTATCTCAAAAGAAAAAAATTTTTTCTACAAACAGAAATCTAGGACCATAGAGCTTCCACCATGAATACTATGACTTTGTTTGTTTGTTTGTTTGTCTATTTATTTAGTATTTTGAAAATAGGTCTCAGGAGGCTAACCTCAAATTTCCTATGTAGCAAAGGAGGACTTTGAACTTCTGATCCTCCTGACTCTATCTCTGTTGGATTATAGGTGCACACCATTATACCCTAATTTATATAAGGCTGGGAATCAAACTCAGGATGTCCTGCATGCCAGGCAAGTACTCTACCAATTGAGCTATATCTCCAGCTCTTTCTATAAAATATTTTGAGAAATAATATCAATCTGTTAGAAATTCTTGCAGAAAGTAGAGGGAACACTTCCCAATTCATCAAAAAAATCAGTTTATGAAAATTTTATTTATTTATTTATTTTGAGTCATGGTCATACTATGTTGCCTAGGCTGGCCTAGAACTTGCCTTATAAGCTAGGCTGGTCTCAAACTCATGATCCTCTGGCCTCTATGTCCTGAGTGTTTAGATTATAAGTGTAAACCTCCATGCTTAGCCAGTTATGTTTCTATACACTACAAACTACCCCCCAAAGAAATCAAGAATAAAACCTCAGAGGAAGGGGGTGTAGCTCAGTTTGTAGAGTGCTTATTTAGCATATAAGAAGCCAGAATTTGGTCTCCAGCATCAACTAGGTAGCACATACTTGGAATATCAACATTGCAGGTGCTAGTCAACAAGGTCAAGCCCAGCTACATAAAAAGGTCAAGGTCAGCCTGCAATACTTGTGACTTCCTCAATAGGAAGGAAGAAAGGAAGGAAGGCAGGGTGGGATGGAAGCAGGAAGGGATTTGTTCAAAAATTAACTAACCAATTAAGAGTAAATTTAACTAGGAAGCTGAAAGATCTGTACTATGATCTCAAACTGGAGAATCGACATTGCTTTTTTTTTTAATGTCTTTTTGAGACAGAGTCTACCTGTAGCCCCAGCTGGCCTGGCACTCGCTATGTAGACCAGGCTAGACTCAAACTCACAGAGATCCACCTGCCTCTGCTTCCTGAGTGCTGGGGCTAAAGGCGTGTGCCACCACGCCTGGCAAGAATTGACATTGTTAAACTGCCCATATTACTCAAAGAAATTTACAGATTCAATGCAACAAATAGAGGAAAAAAAATCTTAAAATTTGTATAGAACCACAAAAAGACACACATGCACACACACACACACATGCGGAAAAACCACAGACATATAGATAAATAGAAAAGGGAACCCAGAAATAAAGCTACCGTTACCCACACGTGGCCAACTAATTTGTAACAAGAACACTAAAAAGATATAATGGGTAAAGGACAATCTCTTCAATAGTGTTGGGAAGTTGGACAGTTGTAAAAGAGAGGCTGGCCTTTAACTTACACCACACAAAAACTAACCCAGAATGGATTAAACTGGAAGCTGTAAATCTCCTAAAAGAAAACATAAAGAATAAATTCCCTGACACTAATCTTGAAAATGATTTTTAAAAAATTATTCATTTTACTTTTTGAGACAGGGTTTCACTGTTACCCTGGCTAGTCTGCAACTTGCTGTGTAGACCAGTCTGGTCTTGAACTCACAGAGATCCATCTGCATCTACCTCTCCAGTGCTGGGACTAAAAGTGTGTGCTACCATGCTGGCTGGCTATATATTACATAATATATATTACTGTAACATGTATATCATAAAAATCCATGGGAAACAAAAGCAAAGATGGCACATAACATCACACTTAAAAGGTTCTGTTGAATCAGAGAGACAATTTAAAAGAAAAAGAAAAGGCAACATTCAGAATGTGAGACCATATCTGCAAGTCATCTATTTGATATGGGGATAATATCCAAGAGGTGTTAAGGAATTTCTACAATTGAAGAGAAAAAAAGTGCTAAAAGAACCTAAATAAACATTTCTCAATAGGAGCCATCCAAATGGCCAACAGGTTTATGAAAAAGTAATCAATCTCACTAATCGCCAGGGAGAAGAAATCAAACCTACTCTTACAAAAACAAATCATTTCATACCTGTTAGGACAGCAATTGAAAAGTAAAACAAAGCAAAACAAAAGCAAGTATTAGCAAGGATGCAGGGGAAAAGGAACTCTTGCATGGTTGGTAGAGTCAACTGGTAGAAAATTAAGAAGGTTTTTGAAAAATTAAAAATAAAATTGTTACATCAGTATGAAACGTTCTCAGAGTTTGGTTTTTTTCTGTTTTTTGAGTCTGTAGTCACTTCTGTTGTTCTGACATTAGGTGGTGATCGAAGTCCACATTTCTGCTACAGACAGCACTCTATAAAATAGCAGTTTGGTAAGTCAAGATGGGTGGTGGCAAGTTAGGCAGCAGGGAGAACTTCGGTTGAATGCAGCCCCTATGGCAGGTTCACAGTTTTATAAGCAGCCCCTACTAAACTCATTTTATTCATTAAACTAGATTTGCATGTGGTGTGTGTGTGTGTGTGTGTGTGTGTGTGTGTGTGCGCGCGCGCGCGCACAAGTGCATACACATCTGAGTGAATATGCATTTATAGGACAGAGGACATTCTTTGGTGATTTTTCAGGTGTTTTTCATGATTCTTTTGAGAAGATGTCTCTCACTGGACCAGAACACACCAAGTTGGCTGTCCAGTGAGCCTCAGGGATTCACCTGTCTGCCTTCCCAGTGCTGGGAACAAGCATACAATCAACACAACCAGCTTTTCTTTCACCATGAAGTCAAACTAATATCTTTGTTCATGAAAAGCAAGCAATTTATTGACAGTTATCTTCTCAGCCCTAGATCTGCATTTGAGTCATTTGATTGAGCCCAGCATTTTTTTTTTTTTTTTTTTTGGCTGTTGGTGCCACTGTAGTTCAAAGGTACACTTTTCTCTTCTGTCTCCCCAGGAAAGCACGCAACACACACACACATACACACACACACACACACACACACACTTATGTGAGGAATGTGAACTATTCAAATTCACAGCAGCAGGGAGTAACAAGGTGGTTTGCAGGGCTTGGGTGGAGGGAGACAGGAGTGGTTGATGTAGGTTTCAGTTCTCTAAGATAAATAAATTCTGAAAATCTGCCATGCAGCATAGTGCTGAATATTATATTATATACTTAAAAATTGCTAAGAAGGTAGATAGTTTTCAGGAACTCAGGTCTACATGAACAAAGATCAGGTGTTAGAGAAGGAATAAGTGACGGTGAAACAAAGTGTTTTTATTTTTTCTATTCTTAGCTCATTTAAAAGGCAGCAGTCTGTCTAAGATAACAGTAGAAAAATTTGGTAAATATAGTTTACAGATAAGGGACATGAATGGCAGCAATGTTCCCATGGATAGGAGGAAGAATTGGGAGTATTTGCTCTACCTGGAAAAAGGCACACTATCGTTTGAAACTAACTTGATCCTAACCAAAAGGCCTACAAGCAATAAGCATACTATTATTGAACTGGTTGTAAATGTAAAACAATCACTAAAAAGCTTATAAATAAATATAGCCAATATACTACAGAGGGATTAAAAATGTTATCATATACAATACAATACTCAAAACAGAAGAGGGCAGAAAATGAGTGGAAAACAAAACATGAACAAAGCACAGTGACTAGAAAATAGTACAAAGTAAGGAAGATACTATCTCAAATATATCAACGATCACTTT